GTTTACTGTTGGGAGACGTCTCAATATGTAAGTTTTGTTTACTGTTAGGAGACGTCTCAAAACATCCCAATATGTAACATTTGTTTACTGTTGGGAGACGTCTCAATATGTAAGTTTTGTTTACTGTTAGGAGACGTCTCAAAACATCCCAATATGTAACTTTTGTTTAGTGTTAGGAGACGTCTCAAAACATCCCAATATGTAACATTTGTTTACTGTTGGGAGACGTCTCAGTATGTAAGTTTTGTTTACTGTTAGGAGACGTCTCAAAACATCCCAATATGTAACTTTTGTTTACTGTTGGGTAACGTCTCAAAATATCCCAACATGTATTTTTTTTAAATTTCGTAGGTATGTTATACAAAACACGAGTCTCTGTTGACTTATATAACATTTAAGTTATGTATTATTTTAATTTTAGATATGTATCAGTTACGTCCTGTTCGTGTCATTAGGAAATATATGTACGTCTGTTTATGTCCTATTTGGTTTATTAGAGTCTCTATACCTCTGCATATGTCCTTTTTGGTTTATTAGTGTATCTGTACGTCTACATATGTCCTTTTTGGTTTACTAGTGTCTATGTACGTCTGCATGTGTCCTTTTTGGTTTATTAGGGTCTATGTACGTCTACATATGTCCTTTTTGGTTTACTCGTGTCTATGTACGTCTACATATGTCCTTTTTGGTTTATTAATGTCTCTGTATGTCTGCGTGTGTCCTTTTGGTTTACTAGTGTCTATGTACGTCTGCATGTGTCCTTTTTGGTTTATTAATGTCTCTGTATGTCTGCGTGTGTCCTTTTGGTTTATTAATGTCTCTGTACGTCTGCGTGTGTCCTTTTGGTTTATTAGGGTCTATGTACGTCTACATATGTCCTTTTTGGTTTACTCGTGTCTATGTACGTCTACATATGTCCTTTTTGGTTTATTAATGTCTCTGTATGTCTGCATGTGTCCTTTTTGGTTTATTAGGGTCTATGTACGTTACATATGTCCTTTTTGGTTTATTAGTGTCTCTGTATGTCTACATATGTCCTTTTTGGTTTATTAGTGTCTCTGTATGTCTGCTTATGTCCTTTTTGGTTTATTATGGTCTATGTACGTCTACATATGTCCTTTTTGGTTTATTAGGGTCTCTGTATGTCTGCATATGTCCTTTTTGGTTTATTAATGTCTCTCTACCTCTGCATATGTCCTTTTTGATATATTAGGATTTGGTTTGGTTGTTGTTAAGCGCAATGCTACACAATAGGTTATCTGTGCTCTGCCCACTACTGGTATCGAAACCCGAATTTTAGCATCGTAAGCCTGCAGATTTACCACTGATCCAGTGTGTGGT